CATATACGGTCGGTCTTATGCCATTATGGCGACTTTTGGCAGCCTCCAGTGGCAGTCAATGACGGTTGGCAGTGGTGGCCAGTTCTGGGTAAAATGACATTTCTATAAATAATGACACTAACAAGGACAATGTCATCCGAAAAATTTAAAAAGTGAGGACAAAAGGGTCTGCATGAGTGAATTAGATGTTTTGTAAATCTTAACAAATATAAGGGTAATTTGGACTAAATGCTCAACTGTTTAGGGGCAACATGGGACATAAAATATGATTACCTAGGAACTTACCCCCCAAATGCCACTGTTTGTCATAAAAGATTCCGGAAATAATTTTTCACAAATTAACCAAACATCATCATCTGCTCAATTTAAAAAATATTATCCCAGTTATCTAATATCCTCCCATCCAAACAGGCCCTTGAGGTTACATAAATGCTAATTTGTTGAAGAAATTTCGATATACAAGGCAATTGCTTGTATGATTGTGAAGGTAATTAAAATTGGTTTGTTTGTATGTTTAAGGTGCGACGTGGAAATTTTGGATTTATAAGTGAAAGGTTGTGAATTTGCTTGGGATTGAGGTAAGTATAATCACATGTAATATGTAAGCTTTTTATAAATATATAAAAACATGCTTTATGAATAATGGTTAATTCTATAAATAGGTTCTTTTGTGAAATTGATTATTTCATGACTACACATCATAAAATATTAGTTTGTGAATATGATAATTTCACGGATCAAATATATCACTTTTTTTTTTTTTTTTTTTTTTTTTTGTATAGTAATTCCATATGACAAACTTATCATATAAACATTTATATAAAATTTAATTAATTATGATGATGATTGAGTGGATAAAACAGATAATAAATACATACGGAACAAAATTTAATTGAATAAACATATAAAAGGACAAAGTCATCGTATCTAAACTTTGTTCATCTTATCTTTTATATCATAATGTTAAATAATGTAATTTCAAAAACGAAAAAAAAAATTAATGATATATAGTATACACAAAAGAAACCAAGAAATATATTACATGGATCCATGTTTCCTTGTTCATCAATATGAAGGATTCTAGAGATATGTACATAAAATATTATTCATATAAACATTTTATTTAATTAATTATGATGATGATTGAGTGGATAAAACAGATAATAAATACATGCGGAACAGAATTTAATTGAATAAACATATAAAAGGACAAATTTATCGTATCTAAACTTTGTTCATATTATCTTTTATATCATAATGTTAAATTATGTAATTTCAAAACGAGAAAAAAAATAATTAATTTTTGTGCTAAAAGATAGGATCCTAGTGAGGAGGTTTGCAGTTGCCAGGAGTGTATCGTGGGATATGGGAGCAGGGATTCGGAGTAGAAGGCGGCGGCAGCTGATGATCGTGAGGGACATATACAGGAGATGAGTGCCTAATTCCATTGCCATCCATAGGCATAGGCCTTGCAGCAGCTTCAACCACCATAGGATTATTAGCAGTAATCACAATATAACATACGAAGATTATAATAAACACTTTAGTGATCATGATGTTGAAAAAAATATTTTTTGTGCTAAAAGACATTGGTTTTTTTTTTTTTAATGAGAGAACAGAATTGATTTCTGCAATTGGAGATGTTAAACTTTGTTATATACACATAGATGAAACTTATAGGACAAGTTTTAGACTAAACGCGTTTTGATCAGTCATATTTTTTTAGCAATACTTTTTTATATATAGAATGCAATGCAATGTTCGATATTAGTGCAAAGTAAATTGCTAAGTAAGTCCATGGAAAATTCCACCAAAAATGTGTGGATGCAGAGGGGAAAGAAAGTTCATTATCTTTTCTTCCCTGTGAGGGTGACACACCAGGCGCACTTTGTTTCATTTACTTTGAATTTCATCTACTTTCTTTATATATGTTATTTGAAGCATAGTGGTGATTTGACCTTTACTTTTAGGAAGCAGCTTCTTGATTGAATTTTGAAGAATATTTTCATTTTTACTTTATATTGGTTATTTAATTTATAAATGGTGTTTGGTTAGTGAGAAAATATAAGAAAGTTAACGGTGAAATTGTTTACTGTCTTGAGAATGTCCCTTTTGAAACCTGTGGATCCAGTTTATGTGGGGAAGTTGCAGATAGAATTTAATTAAATCAGCTTTTATTTTTTTTTTATTTGAAGGTTATCCAATGCCTTCATTAAAGGAGAATGTAGTATGAATTTTACAGGAAAAGAGGTAAGAGGAAAAAACAAGCTTATCAAGTTGACATGCATGTATTTTTGTTGTCTAGTAGCCTTCTTTTTGTTCAATCATATCGTACGTGCCAAGTAATTAACTAGCTAAGTAAAAGTCTTGATAAATTCCACGGCCAAATGTCAACTATCAGTGTATATAAGGGAGACTTCTTGGAGATTTCCTTGAATGGGACAAACTTGATAAAATAAAATATAGATTTGAATTTGTATAAAATCTTCCATTGCGTGAGAACTACCTGACTAGGAAATGGAGAGTATTAAATGTTTAAGAAATATATAATGCTTATTGTTAAGTACCTCCCCAGAGGTTTTAACTTTTCTCAAAAGTCCCCCCGCACCCGCAGGTATCATAAATCTTCCGGCATCTCCACTCCCCTCAACTTTCAGCTTTCTTCGCTGGCTCCCCTGAATACCCTTTTTTTTAACGGAAGGATATTAAAATTAATGGGCGAATAGGTTTTTTAACTATTAAAAAAGAAATATTAATTTAATAGGGGCAATTTTTTTTATTTCAATATAAATTTAACAATACTAACATTTTACTGAGTTAAAATACTAATATAGCAATATTTTCAAAATGATAAGGACCAAAACTCTAGTACAGTATTTGAAATATTTGTCCTTAAACAATACTAAACTGAAACCATAAGGACTAAAAAGAATTAACTTGTCAATGACAACCAAAATTGTAAGGCAGTCTGATTAGGTAATGACCTTTTAATTAATTTAATCTTATTACTAAAAATTCTGAGTTAAAACCTACATTATTATTAATAATAATAAAGGCGAATTCGAAGTCAAAAGTAGACTATAAATGGATGGTGGGGTTGATCAATACGAACATTAAATTAATCTAAACAGCAATAGCTCAAAAGGGATTAATTAAATAATTAATGATAATACTCCAAAAATATACAATTTATATGATTTATTGTATATTCTGAAGATGTCATATAGGTTGAGCATGCATTAAATCTATACAATGAGTTATATATATAAGTCGTGTTTAGTACATTCTTTTTACGAACAATTTTCTTTTTATAATAAAATATGTTAAGATGTTATGCTAAGGCACAACACAATTCTGAAGATGCAGGAGATATAATTGTCAAAATATATGAAAATAATGAACTTTAACATTAACTCTCATTAGTCTCTATATAATACTTGAAAGTGAAATTCATAAAAAAAGAAGTGTCATATTACAGTAACGAAGTAACATTACCTCTCTTTCCATCTGTTTGGAAATAATGAATGAACAAAAAGAAATGGCAACTAAAATAAGAACAAAATGTTTGGAAGTTCATTACATAGGGTGGCGCTATTTGTGGGAATTGTCATTCTCTATGACTTAAGGATGGGTTTGGGTATCCGTCGAAAGTAGCCTTTATTGGGGAAGGGATGAGGGAAATAATTTGGGCCTTTGGGGAGGAAATTGATTCCCCATCTTGAAATGGATAGGAGATGGGTATCCCTCCCAAGCCCGCTTCGTTCTCCATTATAAATTGGTCCATTACAAATAAATATTTTTTATTATAGAAATAGTGTATAATGGTTATAATAAATAGTAATTAACATATATATTTCACATTTTATAGGAATGAAATTTTGATGATTCTTAATGAAGAGAAATCGATAAGACGCCAAGAAATAAATAATGTTGCAGCATATTAGAAATTATTTTTTAATTTATTTATTTTAAATTGTTTTGGCTATTACTTGATTAAAGTTCTTACTTCTTACTACACAATATGTTTTAATCTTTTTTTTTTGTAAGAAAAGTAATGATTTATTTAATTATAATCGATTAGGGACTGGATTGGGCTGGGGAACACACTCCCCACGCTGGCCCGCTCACTGTCCATGTGTGGCAAAACCGGACTCCGATCAGAACATCTTATTCTGTTGGCCGATTAGGAGACAATTGGTCATGTTTAACTTCATGTAGGTTGCTAGACTAGGGTAGTGCGCTGCCTTATCGAGGCCTTAAAAGAAAGAAAAATAATAGAGACATCTGAAGCAGTGCACCGAATTTGTGCATCGAATGACGTAACAAAATCTTGAACGTCGATTAATTATAATTTAATATTAATCGATGGTCAAGATTTCACCATGTCATTCGGTACATAAATTCGGTGTACTACTCCCGATAACTATAGCATTGTTCTAAAAGAAATCTTAAAGCTTTTATATACCGGATGAGAGAGAAGTTCTCACAGAAATACTTTAAATTTTCTGTTACTATGAACAGTCCAAACTTTTTCAGAGCCAAAATGACTAATATATTAAGAATGCATGGACAGTTAATTAAAGAAGAATGGTAAGAATTGCTATATGCTAAGCATATATGTCATTGGAAACTTGAAAAAGCAACAATATATGGGGATGAATATTCATGAAACTTCTAAACTTGAGCATCACTTGTTCACAAGATATTCATATAATGCAGTATATATGTATGTAAATATAGATTTTCAACTGCAGAAACAATCAAGATATCCGCATAACAATGACTATGAATGTAAAAGAAATCATATAAACACAATAATAAAAGCCCAACTTGGTACACGACCTACACTCAAACTCATGAACATAAAGGATTCAAGAGAGAGAGAATATTATGATCTTCACAAATTATAACTCAGACGAAACAAAAAATCCCAATTCCCCATCCAGGGTAGTATACATTATCAGAAATAATGGAAAACTTTAAAGTTCAAATTACACTATTCAAACGGCTTGCTTGATAGAACATATGGTTTGAATGACAGTGAGCAAGAGGAGTATAATTGCTGCAATGGTTGCGGTGCCTTTCCAAGGATTACTGAAATACACCCTTTTCAAAGTGCCCTTCACATGGTTCAAATGATTGTTAAAATGTGCTTTTAGTTCCTCACCAAGCTCATAATAACAGGTACCAGGCATACTAATTTGCAAACCAAGTTTGTTAAACATATTTGTCACGGAAGCACTGTTGCCGAAACAATTGCTAATAATTCCCTTATCGACAAACAAATCCACATCTTTATCAGTATCGATGAAAGTATCCATTAGAAGAACGTAATTGCATATCCGAGTATCCATTGGGTAGTGACACTGCTCCAAAGCCATCAAATTCCTAAGAAAAGTTTCTGTATGTTCATGTACTATCAAAACTGGTATTTGTAACTCATGTACTTGGAGGAATGGAATATTTCTCTGATTTCGCTTTTTGAATCTTATGTCAAGTAAGCATTCTCTTTTAATCTGCTTAAACTTTATTCCAGACTCGCGCAACTTCACCGCACAAGGTAAATCCCCAATACACTTTGCATCCTCCACCTTCGGGAAGTTATTTAACAGAGCAGTTCTTATTAAATCAGTGAAATGTATAACTACCGCCTCTTGGGGCACATGGCCATTGAACATAACCTTGTTGAAATAAATGGAAGAAAGATCCAAGAAGGTGGGACGGTGAGGATTAACAAAAGCTAAGTTATATAATTTCTCAAGGAAGAAATATGGAAGCTGATTTTCGAGTAGTAGTAAATCCATGCATAAATTATAACCTAATGCTTTTCTATTCAGCAAAAGGTCACTTCTATAATAAAGATTACGATCATAATATCTCCAGAAAAGCTCCATAATGAAGATAGCATCATAAAGAATCATGCCTACAAATTCAATACTCCCAAGATTAGAGGCCTCTTCATAACAATTACGAATATGTTGTTCATTATCTTTAATGAAAGTTAACATTTGCTCCCACTGCTCGATAGTTATTCGATTAATAAAACTCTCCATGTATCGTTTCTTCTGTTTTTCCATGTCAACTAGTTCTTCTTTCCCGTAATGAAGATGGCCAACTGAAATTATCTGAGGAGTGTAAGCCTTTTCATTCAATTCCCGAAGATTTCTGGGTACCCGGTAAATGCAACAGTTAGGAGCAGGCTCTAAATTATGCTTAGTGTTAATTACCAACTGTCTCGAACCCTCATCTTTGGTCAAGCAACTAATCATCTCAAAACTCATTGTCTTGATTAATTAGATAAGATCAACCCTAGAAAGATAATCTTTTTTCATGTGGTGAAATGAATAAAAGAACAATATAGAATAATTATCAAAGACCTGACCTGAGTTGCTTCTCTCGAATGCCACATCTAGCTCAAATTGTGTATCACTCCTCTGCTTCTTTATGACTTCCTACACCAAAATGCATCCACTATATAAAATCTGGTGAAATAAAATTTAGTTTGAACAAGGAAAATTGGTGAACATCATTAGCATTTAAGCAACTTTCTCAAGAAGGAAATTATTCATAGCCGGCTGATATCCACCCACTCCTTTTTTAATAAATAACTGCCATTTTTTTTTTTTTTTCATTAGTTATAACCATTTTGATAATGATATTTTGACCTTCATTCCAAAAGGACGCCTAGCACCAGCTGATACGTGAACATCATTAGCATTAGACAAACATAGCAAATTAACCACTCACTAGAAGAATAAGCACTCTAATAATTATGTTGAAGGCTAATTCTTATTAATCTATAGATATCACAGAGTCCATGTAGGCAAAATGAGGTCTTGAACATGGACTCTGATTAGGCATTGTTTGGCTGTTTGTGGGTGTCGAAGTGGGAGAAGTTTTAGATAAAATTCTTATAATTTCTATTGAGCTGCTAAGTCTAAGCATTGTCATTACCAGAGTGACTTATATAAACAGTGTGCTTAAAGAGTTTTCATAGACAAAATGTTGTCCGTTACATATTCAGGTATAGAATAGATTTATTCTGCATATATAAATTAGCATCTTTTGTTCACAAAATATAATGCGGTATATAAAAGAAACCACGTAACCACAGTATCAAGAGGTGTTTTTTATTCATCAACATAAAGGTTTCAAGAGATAAATATAATCTTATGACTATCAAATTTTAACTTCAAACAAAACACAAAATCTCAATCCTTCATAATTAGTATATACAATTAATGAAGTTGAAGTTGCTTAACCTGGGGTCAGTACACAAAGATTTAAGGTTATTTCTTCAAATTGTTCTCCATTTCTAAGTTTGTAGTCTTCCCAGTAACTTCATCAATAGTTACCTACCAAATAAATGTTCACGAAGACCATCTAATTCTCCGGACAGGATCAATTTACACCCTATAATTATTTCGGCTAAACCAACATATTTCCCTGAACCAGTAAATACTTCGGTTACCAAAAAGGGATGGGACGAGAAACGCTCAATTATATGCGCTCTTGCTACTCTTACAGTTAAGTAAAATCTATACAATTAATGAAGCTTCCTAAATTAGGACGCTTCACGTACACAAAAGTCAGCAGCGGAGAGAATTCGAGGCATGAAGGCTTGAAATGAGAGTTTAATTAATTAATGTGTTAAATTCATTCAAAAGTCAGCAATGGTGAGTACATGTGAGTAGAAGATAGACTTTTTCCCTCGTAATAAATTGACCAACCGCTCTTATAGCCATAATTTGCCGTCGAGAAGGTGGAAATTAAGGTCAAAATATGAAAATATCAGCGCAAAATTCCACACCATACTTACCACAGTTAACTAACACACAATCAAGCAAGATAACAAGAATTTCCATAAATATTTCCAAGCAATAATGGCAATCAAACTCAAATAATAATCCAGTAAATATCAATAAGTATCTCAACAATCTCAAAGACACTTTATTATAAACAAGAAATTATGTGGCTCATGTGAATTGACCAAACCGCTCTTATAGCCATGATTTACCGTGGACAAGGTGGAAATCTAGATTAAAATGTCAAAAATATCATGTCATTCCACACCAAACCCAATTAACTAACACATAATCATACAAGATAACAAGAATTTCCACAAATATTTCCAAACAACAATGGCAGTCAAACACAAATAACAATGTGAACATCAATACGCATCTCAACAATCTTAGCCATAATATTTTAAACAAGAAATTACCCTATTTGTTTAATTATTTTTGCACTATACTATTGATATGCTACCCAAAATACACATTTGTTTCTCTATTTTAAAAATGTTATTCTATTTTATTTACCTATTTTAAACCTTTTAGGTTTGTTAATTTAACTAAACATCTCCAAAAAAAAGTTTAGAAATTGACAAAAACACCTTTACCCATCCATATTTACTAGATTTCGGTCATTATCTTTGAAAAGTGGCCAAAATATGGTATAATGACACACTACTAGTTGGATCTAGCCGGTAGTGCTCTGATCTAGCCTTTTTCGGCCAAATCCATCTTGGATCTGGTCAGAAAAGGTCAAATCAACAGCTAAAGATCTGGTCGTTGACGGCTAAATCTTTGACTGTAGCTGGTCGTCAACGATGGCCAAGATATGGCCGTCGTTAACCATCAATGATAGCCACAAAATAATAAAACAAATGCACCTATATGGCACATGTAAATGGAATTCATCAAAAAAAAAAAAAAAAAAGGTGAAAGAAAATACAAACCCGTTACTTGAAATTTACTTTCTTTGTTGTATACAGAGAACAGAGGAGAATGAGATTGTGAAGATAGAAGTGAGGTGGGGGAGTCTGCGGGTAATTGAGTGAGAGTGGTGGGGAGTTACTTGAAAGATTGATGTGTGCTGACCTGAGTTCTCGCTCTGGAATGCCAAAGCTAGCTCCAGCTCAGAGGAATGAAAATTAAAGATAATGAACTTTTGGTTGTGCTTCCACGCACATCTTAGCAACGTGGGAGTTTGGATTCTGATTGGGAAAAATTATTCAGACTTTGGACATGTAAAGACAGTTGGAAGAAAAACTGTAGATACAAGACTTTGAATTTTCAGCTCAATCTAAACTTTGTCATGGCCAACCAAATTGTTTGATTTGAACACTGCTTATGTGATTTCCAATCCTGAAACAGACTATTCTTGAATTAATGGTCAACACATACTCCTTTTTTTTTTTTTTTTTTTTCCTTTCCTTTCTCATATGTAATTTTTCTTTTTATTAACTCTCAATTGTTTAGAAAAAAACTGAGATAAAGAGAAAATGTGATGTGTGGACATTCCTTATTAGGATTCATATAATCTTCTGTTTCTTTAATTTGGTTTATTTTATTTATAATTAATTATTAGGAAAGAGATTAACTACAATTATATTTTAAAGATCATACTACTGGACTCACGTTACACACTTACACTTCTTCTAGCTCTGTCCAACATATAATTGCCGCAAAAGTTGCTGTTTCTTTCCAAGGATGGTCGAAATACACCCCTTTCGAGAACGTCTTAGCATGGTTCAAAGGATTGTTAAAATGTGCTTTTAGCTCCTCGCCGACCCCATAGCAACACAAACCAGACATACTAATTTGTAAACAAAGTTTGATAAACATATTTGCTACTGAAGCAAATCATCTTACAAAGAATTGATAATAATTCCCTCTCAATCCATATCTTTTTCAGTATCAATAAGGTGATCCATTAAATCAACATATTTGCTACCAATAATGCTCATTGCGTTTAATGAAGGTTAACATATTCTCCCATTTCTCAAAAGATATTCGTTTAAGAAAACCTTCCATATATCTTATTTTATGTTTTTCCATATCAGCTAATTCGTCTTTTCCTTAGTGGAGAGGACCAATTGAGATCATTTTAGGAGTGTAAGCCTCTTCATTCATTTTGCGAAGACTTGAATGTACGCGGTAAATTAAACATTCCAAAGTAGGCTCTAAATTATGGTTAATATTTGTTATGCCTGAAAAAGTAAGGCTGACGCGGAGTCTTGTCAGCATGGGGTGGTCAAAACTTGGGAAAGTTTTGCGACCATTCAGACGCAGCCACATCGCATAATGACGTAAGTGGCATGTCTTTGTTAGTGCAGTGGATGAGTGTCAGGTTAGCGGACGGTTGGAAATCACCCACGTGTCCAATCCCTACATAAGTTGAGGAAATCACTCGGGCAGGTGAGCAATGGGACGCATAGAAGGATTTGCACGATACCCACCCACTTGCAGATTTAGTAATCATTACCTTGATTTATCCCACTATAAATAGAGACATTCCCTCTCATTTGCAGGATTAGCTAATTTTACTCTAGAATAGCTTACTCTCTCTCTCTCTCTCTCTCTCTCTCTCTCTCTCTCTCTCTTGTATTCTCTAAGCTGTAACTTAGCTCGTTGAATGCGACCTGACCTTACTCATTAATACAATATCAGTGGACGTATGATTCACTTTTGAGCATCCGAACCTCTTTAAACATTGCCTTTCACCCTTTATTAAATTCAATCCCCTCGTATCATGTGTGACTTCTAATTCTCTTTAGCATTTCCCACGTGCGAATAGTTTGTGTCAAAATCAAACATCAGTAGTTTGGCGCTAGAAGGAGGGTCTGATTTAGTACCTGCTCTTCATCAGAAAAATCTCTGACTAATCAGTCCCCCGATAGCAAATGGCTCCCGGTTTCGAATCTAAGCGAACCAATTATGACAATGAAGAGATCCCCCAGGTACAGGAGGACACTTGTCCTGAAGTGCCGCTAGTCTATCAAAATATCATGAGGGATATCCCTTCAAGCTCGCGGCTTGGTCCGGCCATCATGAGTTACTTGGAGAGGTTCAATAATACTCTCCAAACGGTCAGCCAAAGGCTAGATTGATTGGATCGGGTCATGCAACTTGAATCCAATGAGGCGGTGCCATGGCCAAAGACACCTACATGTCTCGTGAAAGCGTGGAAGAGGGCGAAAGCCCATATCGCGAGCACTGCAGCGTGTCAGAGAAAGGGAAAGCAAGTGGCCCATAGCAAACCCAAAGGCTCCGAGGGACTAGCGAACACCAATCATGCCCCGAGTAGAATACATGTGGCATTACGACTCGGTGACATGTCGTAGTATGAGCCGTCCCACGCCACGTCACACAAGCACTCCCACAAAAGTGCGAGGTAGGGAGATTCCCAATATCACCAAAAGGACAGCTTCGATCGTCGTCGTGCGGGGGATTCCATTGTCCTCGAGTCAGTTCGTACCACCGCGGAGGTCGGGAAG